AGAAAGCAGAAACTGTAAACATAGGTCCAGAGGTGCGGTTGAATTATCAGTGCTAGTGCCACTGAATCTACCAACTCAATGGAAGCGATGCCAGCGTACAATTTCAAATCACGACCCTGATAGGCCTTTTGAGGTCGGAACTCTACCGCTCCACAACGCAAAAAGGAAGGTGTAACGATTAGACACCCCCACGCAGATACGCATGTAGCGGATTCCTGTACGACAAGTCGGCCTGAAGATTGTCTGTTCTTGGCTGCTTGGGAAGCTCAGGGACGTGTCCCGCATCTATGTCACGGCAGGAGATACGTGCACTTGTACATGTACAGTTTATTTGTTATTCCAGATGATATCTAAGTATCAAGATAGCAGCGCCCTGCGGCGACCAACTGTTGACCCCACCCAAATAGTTGATATAACGATTGACATACTCATGCTGTGAGCTCATATGCCGCCGCCACAGCGACCTTTGTGAACTCAAGGGAGTGTGACCAGGAAAAGCCGCTGACAGAAGTGGTGTCACCAGTCGAATGAATGTAAGGGTTGTCGTTTCCAGTGACAGCTTCGAAGGGCATTGCGGTCGGATACCCGGCTTTGTACCAGCTGGCATGGTCAGAGCAGGCATAACCACACTGTAAGGGACATTGTGGCAAGGTTAGCGTCATAGGTAACGGCACGAAACAAAATAACGGAAGTACTTACCGGTTTGTCATTTGCTGCGGGAAGAGAAGAATAGGAACTGATGATGCTTCTCATGAAGGTGTTCAGTCCGGAGTCGATGTAATCGGCCTCCAGTGCGATGACTTCCGTTGAACCAGGTCTGAAGCTGTAATGTAGAATCAGTAATCGGAGAAATGGGTCGGGGAGGACATATGCTTACTATCCCGACATGTCAAATTCAATCATGGCTTTTACGTCGACCCTCGAATTTTTGTAGCTGGTTGCAATAGCTTGGGAGCCGAGAAGACCTGCTTCTTCACCGGCATACCAGTGAAATTCAAGAGGCGTAGAAGGCTTGAAGCCAGACGCCACAAGAGCACGGAAAGCCTCGATCAAGTTGACTGTACCGGTACCGTCGTCGTCGGCACCTGGAGCGCGTCCAGAGCTGGGACTGTTCAGGTTAATCGAGTCCAAGTGCGAACCAAGGATGGTGACGGGGCTTGAGGCGGAGGTTCCAGCAATCTTGGCGATAACACTGGACTGCGACCAGCTGTGTTTGTAGAGGGACACTGTGATATCCGAGCGACTCGAAGCGTACTAAGATAAAGATCAACATCGGGGAATAAGGCGTATAGGTAACTGGCGAGGTACTTACACCCTTGACCTTGTTGAGAATCCACTCGCTAGCTTGTGCGCCGGTAGAGGTGGTGTAGTAGCGGTTGTTGAAAGAAGTAAGGCTGGACAGGGAACTTTGCATGTTCGATGTCGACAGGGTACTAAGGATAGGTCTGACGGCCGCCTGGCGAGAAGGTGCAGGGTCTGTCCGGTGTACGTTCAGTGATGACCGACCAAGTGAATATCAGGAACCTACACGAGGCGAGGGCGGCCTTCATCTTGGGAAAATTCTGTTCGTCTTCGTACACCTCCGTTACATCAAACTGTAAAGCGTTCAGAGACGGCTTTGCATCGAGCAAAGGAAAAACCCACGAATTGGACACCTTGTCTCATTAGGTCAAGCTTCTCCTCCTCGGTCTTCCATACTGGCTCGACACCCTCCTCCAAGCTCAGCAGCCTCAAATTCTGAGCGACGTTGGCCTCAATCTCTTCATGTGATATCGGCGCACACTTGACAACAAGTGGCAGAGCAGCAGCAAGAATGGCTAGGAAAGACTGCAGCCTCATTTTGCACGTCGCGGAGGTCAGACAAAGACGAGGGATGCCAGATGATCATCGGGTTGCTTTTATACAATGCTTTCAGTAACGGCTGAAGAGCATACATTTGCTGTAACTGGGATCCGTATGTTAACCAAGTTCGACACATATGGCGACAGTCCCTTGGCAGATCGAGTGCAGTCATGGCCGGAGAGGTTGAAGTATTTCAACATAGCGAAGAAGCGGATAGCATCATTTGAGGTGCATGGAGAACGCATGCCCCAGGGCTTATCCTCCGATAAGACCTATCTTGACGAAGTGATGTCCACATGCTCTCCAACTGCAACTCGTGAAAACAATGGTAGCGCGAGCATTCCCCAGGCAACAACGCAATAATCACGAGGCTTTCTCCGCGACGACCGCCAACAGGACACTGTAGAGGCTGTTGGGGAACCATGCGGGACCTTCTGGTCTCAGCATCCAACGCTGGCTTAGAATGGCGGTATCTCCTTTACAAATGTGTGATGATTCAATGATCCTCTCTAATTCCTTGATTTTGCCGTGCTTCTGATAAGGTAAAATTATTCCGATTTAGGGTAGACGCAAGCATACCAGCCATGTAGTACTCTCCGGAACGAACGAAGAAAGTTGAAATCTTGTGCATAGTGGTAGCGGTTTGCTAGCGGTGGACGTTTGAAGAAAAGAAACGAAATTAGGTAATTTATTCAATTTTCTTCACGACCAGCACGACGACCACTGCAGCTTCGCAAAGCCTCACAGAACGCACCTTACACTCATTTTTTATGCCATGCTATCATCGTCCTCAAGCACGCCCAATGCATCCAGCCCGTCCATATCTTCAATTGTCCTTGATTCTATTTCCTTCCTCGATAACAGTCTACTTTCCGAATCAATCTCGCTCGATTCTCTGTCAACTATGTCCGAAGAGAAATATACGCCTCCGGTTCCACTAGGACGCATGATTCCTATGCCTTTTTTTCTCGGTCTTAGCAGTAGCTTGTCGCAGACCTCGGTAGGAGGGGTTACTACGACAATACCTACCCCGCCGCGCTTGAGGACGATGCTGAAGGAGGATTTATGTATCGAAAAGTGGTCGGTACGTGATTCTCACCCAAACGAAGGTTTCAGACATGAATTCAACCACCTAGGCAACCGTTAACACGACGTGTGCAGCACCAGGACACATGCCGTGGGCAAGTGTTGCTGAGTCTGAACCCAGTATTCGGGTACCGGAATGTGTCAACACCTCCGATGACCATCGAGACGCGCTCTTTACTGCCAGGCGTAGAAGAGAAACCAGTCCAGCCATCGTTGCCAGAAAGGACCCTCCTTCAGAACCATGTCGACCACCGCCACGACGCGCCACAAGACACGGATCGTCGTCTTTCCGCGACGCTCTGGTTTTCGAACGCGAAATCACATTGGATACTGGCAACGAGAAAAAGCGATGGTCACTTCACGTACCAGCTTCCACTATGAACCCCGAGATGGTTGATATGATGTTGGAACTTCAACACCTGAGGTCCTTTTTCAAGGAAGACCCTGAAGAAGAGGATGATACCGCCATGATACCGCCGTCTCTAATGGTTTCCAACTCCCACTTTACTCTTCCCCTATCTCTGCCTTCTACGGAAAGCGTGGAATCATCTCCCCCAGCTACTCTCGCTGTTCGACGCGGTAATCGACCACTGCCACCTCTCTTGAGCAGTAACAGTGGCGTATTCGAGCCCTTGGAGTCAAGCCCCTATTCTGATATCCCTACGGCTTTTCTTGGAACTCCCTCCTACGATTCGTCTTCCTTACAGGCAACCATTCCCATTCATCGGCCATCCGCAAACTTCAACGACATGGTGTATGACTTACGGTCCCGATGTGAGCCGCTTCAAACCAGACCCAGTATTCGGTTCCCATCTATCCAGGAAGACATGCAAGAACTTGCCACAAAAGCCTTGTCTCCTAGTCGTACTGCCGATTCAGATGAATGGGGATTCGCTCAATCTATCATGCAGAAATACGGCAATACATTCTCAATAATCAATCCAGTTGTCACGCCAGACGCCTCAGCTGATGAGCTGGATCTGACGCCAGACTCAATTGACTACACCCTTGTTTCGAGCCCACTAACAACCGTGACGCCTCCATTCAAGGGTCTGGATGACTCCGCTTCAATGACCACCCCAGATCATTCTTTCTCCTTGGAGAATCGGGCTTCTTCTTTGACGCACTCTATTTGTGATTCCACAGGACCCACAACAGCTTCCCCTACTCCATCTGTGCGTAGTAGCTCCCCATCAGGCGGCCCTGTCAATCCTTCTCCCCGAGGTATCCTGAAGCGATGCAAAAGCGTTCGGTTTGCCGAGTCTCCCATCGAAAACGAGCCGCCGGTTATCTCAAAGGAGGTCGCTGTCGGTCAGCCAACACTTCGTCATTCTCTAGGCTCCGCTCACCCCAAGCACAAGCTCCTGAAACGTCCATCCCCTCTACGTTCTACATTTACCCCACAAAGCAATCATGTCACATCTCTTTCACGTTCTACTCCTTCTGAGCCACAGACTGTTCCGTCGTTACGCGCCGCAGGCAGGCAAAAATCACCCGCCACATACGGGAATGTTGTCACTAAACCACCGAGGTCATCGAATCGATCAGCTTCTGCTGCATGCGACAAAGGAGCACCTGGGTCTGCACTATCTTCACCTATACGATCCTCAACAATCATGACCCGTGGCCGGAACGGTGTAAACTCGAAGCAAACACCGGTAGCCAAGCTAGATTTCTCCACGCCGATGGCCAGTTCTTCACCTCCGAGACCAACTACGAGGACGAAGGTGACTCCTACGCGTGCGCGGGCGCTCACAATCCCAGCTGTGAAGGATATCGAAAAGGACAAGAAGGTTGTGGAGGTCGATAAAGAGAAAGAGAACAAGCCAGCACCGAAAACGCGTGCTTCCTTGTCTGCAACGTATACAGGTAATCGGGCTATGAACGAGAATGCGATCCGCAGAGGTAGTGTTGGGAGTGGGGAAGGTCAAGGGAGTAGTCGGATACGTGTACCGCTGAGGAAGATATTTACCAGATTCAAATAGTGTCCATGTAAAGCTTCGTTGTGTTTAATGTTCGTTGCAAGTATAACGGAAAGCTATAAGAATTACCATTGGGAGCTCTTGTCTCAAGGCCTGATGGTCTAGTAGTATGATTCCTTGTTAGGGCGAATAGCTCGTGTCGAGGAGGTCCCGGGTTCAATTCCCGGTCAGGCCCATTATCTAAGATTTTTTACATTCTCGTAAGTACAATCATAACCACTACATACATGTACAGGTAGTTGACAGGTAGATTTCAGTTCATTGAGAGTCATGTTACATATGTCCACCTCTATTCCAACCCCTACCGGCAAATCCAACTCTGAAGATAGGACCCCCACGAGCGATCATCGGCGCGCTGGGATCATGAGGGAGACCTATTCGGAGAGGGAGCCTCGGCTCGTCCTTGTCCTGGAACTCCAATTCCACGTCACTATCATCATCATGTTCATTGGGCTTGACAGCAAATAAGTGTATGTTCCATCTGCATGTGAACAGGTGCCTTACCTCTAAATCAATAACCAGCGCACCCATGTGCCACCCAGACGCGGCAGCGCCTACACAGAACCGTTGCTTTGGTTGCTTGCGATGGTGATCAAATCTGACCTCTGTGGGGACTTCAACATTTGCAGGTCGCCCGGATCCTCGATTCACAGCCTGCAAGCGTTGTTCCTCAGTGGCAAAACCACCAGGCGATCCGACGGGCAAGTCTGCAGGGTCACCCAGTCCCAACGCTCCATCCGAATACGCACCCCAAGTCAAAAGCTTTCCGTCGGAAGTAAGTGCCCCATAGTGGTAGTCCCCGAGTACAACGGATATGACAGACCGGTCCTGAAGCTCAGGGATAATCTGTGGTTGCGACTCGGTCGTAGTGTCGAGATCGCCCATGAGAACGATAGAACTTCCTTCTGTAGAATAAGCGATAAAGTGGCGGAAGTGTGCGGTAACCTAGAAAATGAAATGTCAACCATTCATCACCTGAGAAGCGTATTGAATTGCCATTCAATCTTACGTGTGTAATTTTCAGCTTGGCTGGAGGTGTGGCTTTCCTCTCAGCGTACGTTGGGTGTGACCGGACCTTGGCCGATTCACTAAAGTTTGGGAGCTACAACACATATGCCAAGATGTCAAAAAGTAGGTCGAAAAATTCGGAGGACTCACGTAGTGCCAACTCCCATTTTGGACAGTGTTTTCGCCGTCCAGCGAATCAAACATCAGGACATGGCCTCCGTTGGTGAGTCCAACCAGACGATTGTCATAGGCTGCAATTTGAATGAGGCGGAAGTTTTGCTGGTTCGTTTCCTGATTCAGAGGGGGGAGAGGAGGCAACGAAGGAAGCAGGACAGGATCTACATCCAACTCCCATGCAACGGACGGGATGGTATCACCTTGAGCCAACGCTTTCTTGTCTCCTTCGCGGTCCATTTCGGCCATTTTGTCGTCGTATCGGGTCTTCAGAGTTCCAGAGAATGGCCACCAAACCAGCACATCGCCTGCTTTGGTCAGCGCTGATGTGAATGCCCATCCACATTCAGCCTGGATGGGAGGCGAGTCTTGATTTGTGAAATGATGCGATGTCATTCTGAAGGGTCGACCCCAGCTCAAGAAGTTCCAGATAGAGTTTCTAGCATCCAAAGAGCAGGCATGCAGCCTCCCGCAACTGCGGTATGTCAGCGGTAAGTGGCTGCAATACCAATTTGAACGAGCTTTCTCACCTGATGCTACGTGTTGGATTCGGCAATGCTAATCTCATGGGAGTGTGCGCCGACTTCGCCGGTTCAGAGTATCCATCACTCATCAACGCATAACCTGTTCCATCCAGTGTTCCTGGAATAGATTTAAGAGCTAAGAATGGATTGCATTGCATCAGATCTTGGACCACCCACCCCAAACATGTATGTGACCCTCGTCGTCCAGTGCGTGAAATGACCTGTTTATCGGCAGCAATTTTAATGAAGAATGGCGATACAGATAGAGTTCTGCAGACATACATTCCACCGGCCACGAGACTTACGATGCGCTTTCCGGGAATACGAAGTTCGGTAGGAAAGGGGACACCGGGAAGCGTTGCCTTAGGGAATCTTGTAAGACCTAGGCGACCATGCTGTTTATTTCTGTTCGTGGATGAATTAGCAGTATATCCCGAATGCATACGAGAACGACTCACCCCCAAACGAACACTGTGTTTCATCAAATGAACCTGTGCCCTCAGATAACCGGGATTGACGCTCACCTCGCGGTTTTCTGAGCCTGCGATAGATAAATTTCCAGCCGGCTGTACGAGCAGTTCCTGCTCCAGAAAAGTTGAAATCTGCTTGAATCTTGCGTTTCCAAAAGGTTTCGTCATTGCATAACGTTGCAAAGAACTGAAACGCTTCTTCATCAGCCTCGAATCTTCCCAAGTCTATCAAATCTTAATATCTACCCTGTTTGTTGATCCAAGGTTCAATAAGTCCTCCAGTGGAAGCATTGGTAGAAGAACATCAAGATGAAGCTCTACTGGGAGGTCGGTAATACCAGGCATATCGACGATGATGAGAGTTGAGAGAAAGAAGAACAAAGGGGAGATTAGAGACGCTGCGAGCCAACTGCGAGCTGCGCCGCTGGTGTATTCGATGACGTAGACGCCTGCCGGCCCGTCTAGACCGTGCAGTGCCGCACAAGTTCAACACCTTCGTAACTGTGAAGGCTCTCTTTTCCCACTCTACCGAACTTGACAAGCTTGACACTCGACTCGCAACGTTCGTGCATTTTTATGGTGTTCACCAAGTTTGACTTTGATTTAGTACGCGAATTCTTTCCTTTTCAGTGTTTCATTGACCCGCATTCAGTCGTAAAGGCGTAAATTCCTCAGTGCGGACGAGAAGGCCTAGAGTCCCAGTAAACGATGTCGGAGATGGTTGAGGAAGGCTCTTAGACTTGCTAGGGAAGTATTGAGGTACGTCAAGCACTTACGACCTCTTGATCGAATTTACCCATCTTTTCATTTTGTAGTCTTGATCTCCTCTTCAACGACCCTGATTTGCTTTCCATCTTGAGTGTTGGAGGGCTGACATGCTCTAAAGAAACTGGCCATCAAAGCTGCGAAAATTCAGCCGCCGTCAGTGCGTTTCTCTGTCAAAAATGCTTATCATATGCCCATTGCCGATGAATATCATGTTCTCCCAATATAGGTGCATGGGCAAGCTGACCAGTGACACGTCCCGGTCAGTCACGTTCGGCTGCAACTCGTACGGGCATGCTCGGTCGTCTCCTCATCTCCGCGACAGACGGGGTGCCTCAGACGCTGGCTTGTACGGCTTCTCACATTCCTAGTTACTTACCGGTTCCAAGACTCAAGCAGCATCGAAGACCCAAGGGGGATAAGTTCGAGACGCATCTTGGGCGCGCGCATAACCGCAACTCTCGGGAGAAGGCTTTATGTGCGTTTCCTCTGCACTTTCTCGTTCTTAATCGCATTAGACGAACAAGTGACCGCATTGCATGCAAAAAGACTCAGAGGTCAAAGAAGCGGACTCTTTACTGCGGAAACCTTACTCAGTGCTTCCGCATTACATACGAAGCATTGAAAATGACAAGGCTCAAATGAGCACGAAAGGTGCGAGATCCTTTTCCATTTGGCGGCTACCATTTGTGTCTTGGTCACCAAGTGTCTTGAGCATAATTTTTATGACAGGATCAGCCGGATGGTTGTGGTCCGGGCCTCTTCGTCCTCCTTCAAGTTTCTGTTTCTAAACAGGCTGTCAAGGATAGTGTCAACAATCCTTTAGGGTTCCGAGCAAATACCCATTTATTCGGATATCCAGAGCGGAAACATCACGAATAGGACGTTTATGTGAAGGCCCAAGCTTCGATCAAGGCGCCAGCGATAGACATATAGGTCATGAGATACCGATACCTAGGAGAGTGACATTTATCAGCCTCGGGCACGGGCATGGGCAGGACCAGGCAGGGACCTAGACAAGGACGAAGTGATTTTTGGAAAGTACTTGCGATATACTCCAAGGCGCTGTGTGCTACGCTCGATTGATTGTGAAGTTCCATAGGTATTTCGAAACACGCCCACTCAATGGGCGCCAGTCGTGCATACTCTGATTCTATACTTAGCCCCACAAATTGCCTTCGGATACCGACCTTGTGGATGCTACGCCAAGGAAACAGCATACCCCCACTGAATGCCATCATGACCTGGACCAGTCACGTAGCTTTGCGCAAAAAATTGACCGATGGCTGCTGCGTACAACCGCTCGAATCATTCAACCTGCTATCTGAGCGTCCCTGACACGCATGGTCCCCATGTTTACTTGGTTCAAAACATCTAAAGGCAGTCGGTGACCCAATCATGGGTATCGACGCGTCCCCAGGATGTCCGCTATGGAGAAAACGAGCCGTTTACCCCGTTCTCCAGCTCTATCTTCGCGAGAGGCATCTGAGCAAGACAGCAGGCTTACAACGTCTAATTCAAGTTTATAGTAGTAAGCCTTTCTCATGAAGGATCCACTCATGTCTAACTTCGGTCCAACAGGAAGCGCTCCAGACAGTGGTTCTAGCCCATTGATTTTGCAGTGAATATTCAAACAAGGATTCATACATTCCGGTCAAAGATGGAGCTCTACAGCTCTGAGATATTTCAGAGACTTACATACATTTCTTGCAGGGTTGGTCGATCCTTAAAGATCGCTGAATCAATGTAATTGGAAGGACGTGTCGCTGATTATTAGTGACAATTATGCAACTTGGGCCCTGATAGTGACAATCCTTTGTACGTTATACCACTACTCAGGTCATAAACACTTTACGAGAATTCCGATCACTTATTGACCTGCATATGAAGGTTCCAAGGATGGGAAGGCGTTCCTTATGACCGTACACCGTGCTTAGACACCCAGGGAAGGTTCAAGGAGTCAGGACCAAGCCAAGGATCCTGATAGGCACGTTCTGGAACTCGATATGGCCAGGAACGCAGGTGCCATTGCGAGACCCTGTATATGTCCAGCTCATTCCACACACAAATTCGTTTGATCCTCTTTTTCTCCGCGTCGGAAACCTTCTGCATCCGATGTTTAATGATAGCCACGAGCGGATACACTGTCAACAGCACAGGAGCCGGGACCAAACCTAATATTGGTGAATGCGGACCCGCACCTTCTATTGAAAAAATCTGCCTGTGGCGCGACG